GTCTTAAAAACATCTTCCCCCCACCCCTCCTTCCTTTCTTGTTCTCCCTCCTCCCCCCAATGGTGCAGGGGGACGGGGAATGGGGGTTGTGGTCAGTTGTTTCTGCCACTGCTCAGGGAGAGGAGTCCTTCCCCTGCTCCCGTGGGGTCCCTCCCATGGGAGACAGTCCTTGATGGACCTCTCCAGCGTGAGTCCATCCCTCGGGCAGCAGTTCTTCCCAAACTGCTGTCCCATGGGTCATTCCTCCATGGAGTGCAGTCCTTAATGAATGAGCTGTACTGACGTGGGTCCCCCACAGGGGCCACAAGTCCTACCCCGGAAAAACCTGCTCCAGCGTGGGCTTCTGTCTCCATGGGCCGCAGGTCTCTGGCAGGACCCTGCTCTATCCTGGGCCTCCCACGGGTTCACAGCCTCCTTCATGCATCTACCTGCTCCAGCATGGGCTTCTCCATGGGCTGCAGGTGGGTCTCTGCACCCCGATGGTCCCCCATGGGCTGCAGGGGGACAGCTGCTCCGCCATGGTCTGCACCACGGGCTGCAGGGCCTCAGCTCTGGCACCTGGAGCACCTCCTGCTCCTCCTTCTGCGCTGACCTTGGTTATTCCCATGTTCTCACTCCGCTCTTCCCTGGCTGAAATTTCTTCTAGGCAACAATCTTCTGTTCTTAAATATGTTATCACAGAGGCATTACTGTTACTTCTAATTGGCTCGGCCCAATCCTGGAGCCAGCTGGCATTGGCTCCACTGGACAGGGGAAGCTTCTAGCAGCTTCTAACAGAAGCCACCCCTGTAGGCCCCCTGCTACCAAAACCCAGCCACAGAAACCCACTACGTTCCTCTCCTCACCTCTGTGAATCACATATTTAAGAATTTTAAATTTCACATTCATCACGCAACCTTCCCTTACATAAACAAAAGAAATAACAACCTACCAAAACAGAATATAACGAAAATTCCCCCTGCCAAAAATCAAAATAACATCACCAATCACCAAACTTAAGTGAACAATTTACGCAAAATCCACCCCATGTACCTTTACCACAATTACAGCAAAAATTCCCCACGATCATTTCATTCTCGAACAGTATTCAATACTTGTTTTGCTCGTTACCTCTCCCAGTTACTATCCTTATCTCAAAATCCTCATGACTTCCCCGTACAGGCCACCAAAAAGCCTGTAGGTGTGTAGGTGTTACGATCTGAGTCCTTGTCTCAGCCAGAGCGTCCTCCATTACAGTTTGGGTTCCGGCCTCCACTACAGTCTTCTGAGAGTATTGAACTGTGGCTCGATAAGCACAGGCCAGGCCAGGGCAAGAAGCTATTGGTTTTGATTGGGGTAGGCAAGGCACCCTTCCATGAGGTGATGTGTCAGTTTGCTAGGGTTGAATACCCGTCAGGTGTGAAGTCCTGGGTAATGGGAGGTGTCAAACACCCTAGGAATCCTTCCACACTCCCTGCCACCAGGAACTGGGCCCCTCAGGGCATATCCCAATGTATTATCACCTAAAGTTTGTTTTCTCCTACACCGAGATAACACCACATTCCACAAACTCCATAATGTTCTGACAATATTGGTTAGTAGCAGTAACATTACTAAACAGCTCACATAAGGATTAACAAGGAGCATGGGTGACTTCATTATAAAGCCATTTATATCAGTCAGGAAGGGGGGGAAGGTTGTATTCCTCCATCAGTCTCAAATAGTTCCCCAGAAGACTACTCCCCCAGCACAGAAAGGCCATTAGTACAAAAGCAAGGTGCAGAGTCACTGTTTATATTAGTATGTTCCCGAAACTAGCAAAGTAAAGCTATAAGCGATGCAATGCAATGCAATGTGTATATATATATATATATATAACTGCCTTTGTCGTGCCCCACAACTGGGCGCCAAAAAGGACTGTGGTGGGTTGACCTTGGCTGAATGCCAGGTGCCCACCCAGCCGCTGTATCCCTCCCCTTCCCAGCTGGACAGGGTAGAGAGTAAGGTGGGAAAAGAAAACTACACAAATCGTGGGTTGCGATAAGGCAGTTTATGCAAAAAAGAAAGCAAAAGCAGCGTATACGTGCAAAAAGCAGAAGCCAGCAGTTTACTTCCCATAAGTCTACTTCCCATAAGCAGCGATGGTTGGCCACTTCTCTGAGAAGCAGGGCTCCAGCACATGTAACGGTTGTCAGCAGGCAGCCATCAGAGACAGTGAGTGCCTCCAGTCCTGCTCTTTGCCTCAGGTTTTATATCTGGGTTGATGTCCTATGGTATGGAATATCACCTTGGTCAGTGTGGGTCAGCTGGCCTACTTGTATCTCTTCCCAGGATCTCGCCCTCCATTGAAGAAGGAATGTTACAGTGCTGTGCTCAGCAGTAGCCAAAACATGGGTGTGTTATCAACACTCCTCTAGCTACCAATGCAGAACACGGCACTGTGAGGGCTACTATGGGAAAATAAATTCCGGCTCGGCCAGACCCACCACATCTATCATAAGTCTAATTTACTCTAAATTTGCATTTCAGAGTCTAGTTGGTAAAACCATTCTTAACAGCAATTATTTGGGAATTATGTTAACTTTATGACTTGTTCATGCTCAGAGCTAAATCTACATATTATAAGATTTTGAACTGACTTAATGTCATACAATATATGCAACAAAAACAAACTGTAGTGGCTTTTGTTTTAAAATTTTATGATCTTGTGATTTCATGATAGAATGATGAAGCAATGGTACTACAATCTATAAGAACAAAATATGTATGTGGAGGAAGTATGTTAACCTTCCTGTTCTTTTACAGTGGGTGCAGAAGGGAGAAGAACTATTTATGATAGTGTGACAACAAAAGGGAAGAGGAAAAGATTTATACAAACTGTCATATAAAATTTTGTGATTTAAGATTAGAATATTTCCTTATGAAGATTAAAGAATGCTGGAGTTTATGATATCAAAGTACTGGCCCAGAAGGGTGAATAGAAAATTCCTACTGTTTTCTAAAATTAATGGGCTTTGTATCCAAAGGTGGATTAAAAGATTTATTCTGTCATTATTATACTGTTTGAGTAATACTGTCAAAATAAATATTGCATTTTGGGAGTCAAAATGTACTCTGTAAATTTCTTACTTGCTGATGATTGCCAGCTAGTTGAGGGAGGTGATTGTCCTGCTCTGCTCTGTGCTGTTGTGGCCTCACCTTGAATATTGAGTGCAGTTTTGGTCACTGCAATATAAGAAACATACTGAGCTATTGGAGAGTGTCCAAAGGAGGGCAACAAAGATGGGGAAGGGTCTCAAGGGGAAGATGTATGAGGAGCGGCTGAGGTCACTTGGTCTGTTCATCCTGGAGAAGAGGAGACTGAGGGGAGACCTCATTGCAGTTACAACTTCCTTGTGAGGGGAGGAGGAGGGGCAGGCACTGATCTCTTCTCTGTGGTGACCCGTGACCGGATCTGAAGGAATGGCCTGAAGTTGTGTCAGGGGAGGTTTAGGTTGGATATTAGAAAAAGGTTCTTCAGCCAGAGGGTGGTTGGGTGCTGGAACAGGGAAGTGGTCACAGCACCAGGCCTGACAGAGTTCAAGAAGCATTTGGATGATACTCTGGGGCACCTGGTGTGACTCTTGGGGATGGTCCTGTGTAGGGCTGGGACTTGAACTCAGTGATCCTTGTGGATCTCTTCCAACTCGGCATATTCTGTGATTCTTTGTGATTGTATGATAATAATAAGACAGAATGGAATGCAATACATTGGAGACCTCTGAAGAAGAGAAGCAAGAACAGATATTCTACGATAAAATTGAGTGATATAATGGTGGTCTTATATAACCAAGGACATATTTGTTTTTAATGGGTAGTCTGATTAATAACATGAAAACTGCATGTCAAAATCAATAGAAAAATAAATTTTAGCATGTGGAATTTGTCTGTTATATTTGTGTAATCTTTGGCTGTGTTAAGGAGCTTTCTACCTTTCATCTGTGCCAAAAATTTGTAGATATGATCTCCAGTGGCTGCATGGGAATTTGGATCTGGAAATATTGAATTATTGTTATTTAGATAGCATAGTCTTAATCTATGAAACTTAATCTGAATTTATGATGAAATACTTGAGGTTCTTTCCTCAGGAAATACTATAGTTTCCTAACCTGAGCATTGGTATCAGAGAGACAGGTATCTGGAAACTGTTTCTGCAGGTCTCAGGAGATTCAAAAAGTCAAGCAGCATTATGGATACTTTGTGCAAGAGGGATGGATCACTTTGAGCAAACCCCAGATTAGTGCAGTAAAAACTATGCATACAGAGTATGGTATGATTTTTTTGATTTGCCTTTCAGCTACAAGCCTATTCTTCCATGTCTCTTAAAGAATTAAAAATAAGGATAAACAGTAGTGATACACAGTAATTCATGATCTTTTTTTTTGACTTGTCCTAAGCATGCCTCATGAATGTCTCCCTTTTTGCCAACCTAGTGATAAAATCAATGAATGACAACCTTACTCTAGTTTTCATATTTGTGTTTGAATTGTGTATTATTTCAACAAAAACTCGTTATAGAAAAGGAAGAGAAAATCGCATTCATTTCACATGAACTATTGGTTTAGAGGAAATAAAGCTTTGTTTGAAAGCATGTTGGGTAATACCCTTTTGACTAAGAAAAGTGCCCATAAGTAAAAAGAAATCTCAAGATAGAAAAAGCACTTAGTTTAGCTTGGAAAGTTGAACTAAGCCTTTCAATTTCGTATTTGTGCTTTATTCACTGCAGCATGGCTGCACATGGTTTCTAAAGGGAATGCTGCAATGGGATTAAAACTTTGTTTTTTCTCATGGTGAAAACATTTTTCTTTCTTACGTAACACAAATGGAGCATGTAATTTTCAAGTCTCACTTTTTTCTTCAGTCTTCTGCCTCAGTAAAAGAAACTTCAAAAATGGACAGTCTTCTTTTTTTATTTTTTATAGAATGAGATACACACCAAGGATTTCTAAGAAGATTTCCCTTTTTTTTCTTTCAAATTTCAGACATGGGACACAGAACTGGAGAGATCTGCAGAGTCATGGGCTGAAACCTGTCTTTGGGAGCATGGACCAGCAAACCTTCTTCCGTCAATTGGACAGAATTTGGGGGCACATTGGGGAAGGTAGTTTAAGATACTGTTTTATGCAATATATGAAGTTTTTTAAAATTTAACAAAATTTGATTATTACTTAAAGGAAAAATGATAGAAGCTACAACTTTTGAATGATCTAATACTCTGCTATTGGCTTTCATAGGTACAGACCTCCAACATTTCATGTCCAAGCATGGTATGATGAAGTGAGAGATTTCACGTATCCCTATCCTCATGAATGCAATCCATATTGTCCATACAGATGCTCTGGTCCTGTTTGTACACATTACACACAGGTATGTAGATGTGTTTGTTTTTTATCACCTGTGGAAAAGAGTGGTTGAGACCTCCAGTTATGTTGCTGTATGATACTTAGAGCATACTAAACTTTCAGTATATGCCATAGCACAAAAGCCCCAAAAGGGCTTGTTTAGACTCCATGGTTAAAAGCACTGGGTATTAGTAACAGAGTAGGGTTGCCATGCAAATCTTTAGACTTCATCCTCATAAATATCACTTCCTTATCAGGACTAAGGAAAAAGCTCATGAACACCAGTGTCGCACTGTGTTGCTGCTCACTGCACTTTGCATAATCCGGCCTCTGTGCTGGTATGCTGATAGTCCTTTCTGTAATAAGCTGAAGAAACAGCTCATTTTTAAAAAAAATAAATATTTTCTTAGGTGAGTTCCTCAGATCAAGGAATAGATTTTAAGATATTACTTTAATTTCAGCACGTTTTTAAAATTGCATAAAACTAATTTATTGCTTACTTCTGAAATTTGTGTATCTAGCCTGAATTTTGGCAGAGGGGAGCCAGTCATGTTTTCAGTGAATGGGAAATGTATGATTTTCAGGTTATACTACAGTCCACATAAAATTTGTGATACAATATTTGAAAACCTAAAAATTATTAATTTTTAAACATTTATTTTCTCTTTAGTAGCATAATTTACAATTGTATCTAATTTTAAAACAGAATTATCTCCATATTCTTATTTACCATTTTTCTAAATATAATTACACTTACCATTACATGCGAGATCAATACATATATAGTGTTTTTGTGGTATCCTGTTGGATCTACAGATCTGGCTTATCTTGAATTAATACAATTTCAACAGCTGTCATATTTGTCTAATTTGAAGATTCCAGCCTTTGTCACTCTGATTATTTTGAGATCTGCAGTGAAAGGTGAATAAGGAGCACAACCACCTTTGATGGCAATGACATGAAAGCATATTCATTTAAAATCCATTACTTGGGTCTATTTGGTGTATGAGGGTTTTTTTTTTAAGTTTTATCCTTTATCTTACTTCCTTTTACTGCTGAAAGATATCTGTTCTCTCAGTCCAACCGATCCAAACCCCTCTGGGTCTTTAGGTTGTACTGAGAACTCTAGGGCACAGGAATATAACTTCTAACTCACAGTCATCTATAAATTGTAATTCCAAGAACCAGTTCTTCAGATCATGTTTTGTAAATGTTTTGCTACACTTTCAAATATATGCTTAGACCATTTATATGTATAAAATGAGAGCTGCATTTTTTGTGTCAAGGTAAAGCTTTTCTTTCTATTAAGGGTATAACCAAATGGCCTTTTGGCAGTTATAATTAGGTCACTTCAACCCATTTATAACAGAGGGGAATATATCACTTCTGTTATTTGAGTTTTATATATTGAAGTTTGGAGATAGTTATGATTTTAAGTTTATCAGCTTTGGTTTCACATTTTTCTCTTTCATTTTCCATAGGTTGTTTGGGCTACAAGTAGCAGAATTGGTTGTGCAATTAATTTGTGTCATAACATGAACATCTGGGGACAGATTTGGCCAAAAGCAGTCTATCTTGTATGCAATTATTCTCCTAAGTAAGTAGATTGATACCCAGAAATATCTTGAGGGGGCAAGATACTTTAAATAATCTGAAAGGAGATCATGGATTTTCTATCTTTTGTACTGTTACTTTGTTCCCAAGGCAGGCTTTGGCTGCCCAAATACTCTTGTGATTTTTCTAGTCCTTTGGTTTTCTGGTCCGTGTTTTAGTATACAGCATCAGAGATCTTTGTTGTAGTGTGATATTTGTATTTCCCCACTGTGACTTTAAGGAATGTGTAACAGGAAGCTCATGGTTAAGATCAACTTTTATAGGATATTCCATCTAGGAGAGTGGAGCCTGTTCTCATGTAATGGAGGAACTTAGTCTTACAGCGCTATGCCAGTCTGAAAAGATCTTACAGCAATTTACATCAGTTCTTCAGCTTTTTTCTTCATGGACTTTTCAACTATGTCCTATGTATTTGGTATAGAATCATAGAATCATTTGGATTGGAAAAGACCTTTAAGGTCACTGACTCCAACTGTTAAGCTAAAACTGCCAAGTTCACCTCTAAACGATGTCCCTAAGTGCCACATCTACATGTCTTTTAAATACCTCCAGGGATGCTGATTCCACCACTTCCCTGGGCAGCCTGTTCCAGTCCTTGACAGCCCTTTCAGTGAAGAAATGTTTCCTAATATCCAATATAAACCTCCCCTAGAGCAACTTGAGATCATTTCCTCTCATCCTATTGCTTGTTACTTGGGAATATCAGAACAAAGTTACAGTCTATGTATCTGCTGGTTTTCATTATTTATTTGTTGACATACTAAATGCTGTTTAATGTTAATACATTTATTTATTAAGGTATTTTTTGCTATTTTTTTTTCTTTTTGTGTAAAGGGGTAATTGGTGGGGTCATGCTCCTTATAAACCTGGTCGCCCTTGTTCCGCATGTCCCCCTAGTTTTGGAGGAGGTTGTAGAGAAAATCTTTGTTACAGAGGTAAGTACTATTTCAGCATTACAACTATAAATGGGAATAGAAATGTAACCTTTCCTTTTTGATTTCTTTCCTCATTATGCCTTAACCTAGTGGAATAGTATATATTATGCATATACCCAAAGACCTGGTAGGGCCCTTCTTTACTATGATGAATGAGATCATGTAGTTATGGTATGTGAGGCTGAGCCTCATCAGAGTGGACTGTACTGAACTCCTGCTGATAAGTGCTGATTCAGGGCTTTTAGTGCACAAGGATGGAGACTGTCACTGTGTGCTATTTATGCCTTTCTGTAATTACAGTGGAAGTCTATGCAGTCATTTGTTTATAGCGAAACGTTATCTCAATGACATAGTCATGTGCTATATGAAAAATCAAGAACAAAACTGGAAGACATTAGAAATTAAAATGTAGGCTAGGATGATTATTAACTTCTTAAAATTTTTGGAATGCTATTCATATTTTATAGCATTGAAACACAACATATTATGAAACTGCTACTTCTTTTTGCTTTACTCTGTGTATGAGTAATTTAGCAATTTTTCTTAATAACTTTTGAGATCTCATATGGACCATATGAAAGTGCATAAATGTGCCCAAATACCTTCCTTATAGTTCTTGTCTAAGTAAGAAATGTAGATTCAGTTATAAGTATTTCAAAATTATTTTCATTGTGTATGAATAGAAGGGCCTCATTTTCAGGTGTATTTTATTATGAAATAAGCTTCTTTAATTGCATATCATCTGTGAATTTGGTAAAACTCATGTATAACAGAGATCATCTTTGTTCTATTGGTTTTCTGATGGCATAAAGGTACTAAAACAGGAGCATTTTCATACTTAAATTGTGCTGCGTGTACTAGAAAAAAAAAATCTTTGCTCAGTATCACAAACATACTTGAGATGTTTTTATTAATCTTGTGTTCTTTATCTTATGAAATAGTGAGAAGTCTTTCTTGCTTTCATTTTTCCACCATTTTATGAGAACAAAGTCATTTTACTGAAACACAGTGAGGGATTTACATTCCACACTGATTTTTTTTTTTTCTGAGAGATTATTTTTTTTGCCCATTTTCTGAAACAGAGGATTCAGAAAGACCTTATTCTCCCCATGAACCAGAAGAGGAAACCAACGAGATTGAACGTCAACGATCCAAAGCCCAGGATGCAACAGTGCAAAGCCGGCCAAGAACACATTCACCTTCGGCCTCCACAGGCACTGATGACAGTGAGAAAAATGAAGTAATAAGCACGCAGCAAATGTGTAAGGAATTTACCTGATTTGCAAGTGGTCAACAAAATTAAATTGTATAGTATGAAATTCACTGCAGTGAATTTGCTTTTTTGCTTGTTTTAGCTCAGATTGTCTCATGTGAAGTAAGGCTGAGAGATCAGTGCAAAGGAACAACTTGCAATAGGTATGGTAAATTTTACAGTTGTCATTTTGAGATTATTCTGAAAGGCTGTATTTGTACATGAGCTGAAATATTTTCCCTTTTTGTAATCCCAGGATTTAAGACCAAGTTGTGTTTTATTCTCTTAGGTATGAATGTCCTGCTGGCTGTTTGGATAGCAAAGCCAAAGTTATTGGAAGTGTACATTATGAAATGGTAAATAAATATTTTTAAATTAGATTTTGTACCAGTAAAGTGTTTAATGAAATGTCTTTTCTGTTGGAATACTAGTTAAAATCATATTAAGAATGCATTTTGAGTATATCAACATTCACCAAAAATAAAAGCTAACACCAAATGTTTAAGATAGCATCAGATGACCTAAATTTGCATCTGCTATTCTGCATGTACTGTCCAAATATTCTTCATACTTACGCATACACAGAAGTAGAATTTTTATGTCCACTTGTTTGAATGTAAATATGTGAAGGTGCGATTAAAAGTACAGCAATTTGTGGGTACACTCAATTTGTGGGTATAAATTGTTTCAATAAGGTAGGCCTACTTGACTTAATGCTAGCTGAAAGTATAGCATTTACTCTGTAGGTCTGGAAAACAATATAAGAAATAACAACTACTGTGAACAAGTATAATGTAAATAAGAACAGTTTATCTCTGAGTAAGGCAAAGTGGTGTTTTATTTGTATGAAATAATACCTACATAGACCATGCCAAACCTAATAGACTCTCTACCAAGTTTTTAATGACACATTGTAATTGAAACCTTATTGTCTGACATGAAACTGCTTTTCTTGCTCTGTTTTTCAGCAATCCAGTATTTGTAAAGCTGCCATACATTATGGCATCCTAGACAATGAAGGTGGTTGGGTTGATGTCACTAGGCAAGGGAGGAAAAACTACTTTATCAAGTCTTATAGAAATGGCATTCAGTCAATTGGGTAAGTTTTCTTAAAATATATGGAAATGTTTTCACATGTTTATTTGTAGTTCCTACAAGATGTATCACAGTAAAATATTTTTCTCATACTTTTTGTCATAAAGAATATGAAAATGCTATAGAAAGGCACATGGATATGGAGTTATTGTATCCATTCTGAAACTTTATTCAGTGTTTAATGGTGGACAGAAAAGTGACACAATTATGATGTGAAAGAAGGCAGATTGTTTTACACGTTTTGAACAAAGCTAGTATTATTTCCAAAGTTGGACCATGGACAGAGCAATCTATGACAGTTAAGAAAGCAATAATCTTACAAGGTTTTTTCTGTAAGTGACCCTCTTGTAGTGTACATATGAAGAATATGAACCAAGTAGAAAATACACCTCTTCCTATATGTTTGATGATTTCATCACAGTTCCACAGTTTCTGAGAAATTTTCTGGGAAAATCCAGAAAAACAGTGCACAGAAGGGAAGAATACTTGCTGTTTCTTACGTAATTATCCAATGATAGGAAAACATCAGTATTAGCATATTTGAATCTAAGATACTATTAATATTTGCAAATTACACTTCAATATATATAGTAATGTATTCTTCAGAGCTGTACATTTCTGTCCTTATTTTTGTCTATAATTAGTATGTATGTAATAGTAGTATGCATGGAACAGTTAATGTAGGAGTGACATTGAACTGAAAGAAAATAGAATTTTGCTGAGTGATGTATTTGGCTCAGGTGTAAACCCAAGGGTAAGGAGATAGGTGATCATCAGAGACTGTACATACACTCTGTGCTGTGCACCTGTGATAATTTCTCTTTTCAACAGATAAATCTAATCCGGCATAGAGAAGAACACTTACCTGTGTCTTGGGTTTAACCTGTAGCTGGGTTTTAGTAGTGGGGGGAGCTATAGGGTGGCTTCTGTTAGAAGCTGCTAGAAGCTTTCACTGTCCTATGAGAAGCCAATGGCAGTCAGTCCTATGAGAAACCAATAGCAGACTAAATTCAATGACCTATAATTTGGTCTACCTGGGTAGCACTTAAGGCATTGATATCAATCTGTTTCTTTGGATCATCTGATGACCTGACTGTGGTCAGGTTAGTTACCCACCTAAAAATGAAGATACAGACAGATATTTCTTTTTTTTACTTGCTTTGAGACAATGAGACAAGTAACTCTGGATTATACCAATCCTAACATATTAGGAGCAAGTGTAAGAGTAGATAAACTGTAAAACGATCTTTTAAACTAGAAGCACTTGATTTTCCATCAGTTGAAATCTCTGTGTTTCTGTGCCATATGAGACAAAACTGTATGAGTGTCCAGCCTACCTGAGTGTGTTTAGCACCTATCCTTTGAGAATCAGAACTCAGAGCAAGGTATTAACACTTGGTTTTGTTGGCTATGGGATAAATAAAGATTATTTACCAAAGTTTCAAACCTTCAAAAGGCCCATCGATAAGGCAGGGGGTACCTTGCAGCTACCTGACTCTTACCAGTGTCTCTAGATGGAACCTTGCATAAACTACATATCCATTCAATGAATAGATGACATAAAGTGGATCTCACCTCTATTGTGTATTGCAAACCAGAATAGGGAATACAGAAAAGGGACTGTCAGTGCAGCATACAGCAAACTTCCTAATCTTCAGCTCCTCTGACTTCTAATCAGGATTGCTAATAACAATGTTTTTTCAGCTGTTGGATTTTCTTAGTATAGGATGCTGTTCTCAATATCTCAAATAATCAACAAAAGAGTAGAGTGAACTATACCCCCATCAGTGTTTGCAATGCTAGGGCAACAGAAGTATGAACTGCCTCAGTGAAAACAATGTGAAATTGATGGGCCATACAACTAAATAAACCAATGCAGGCAAACAGTGGAGTCCCCAGGAGCAATTTGTTCCAAAGGGGAATAGGGAATCATTTCCTTGGTTTGTTTTTTTTTAATAATAAATAGCTTTATGGGTGCCAAAAGCATTGTCAGTTTCTGTGTTACAGATGAAAAATATCAGAATCAAAGGTGTATCCAAGGAGTAAAAGAAGAGGAAAACAGAATATAAGAGGAGTAAAATAGAAATGCTCATCAATTTGGAATGAAACAACATAATCTATATACCTGACTCTTTATAACAACAGGAAACGAATGCATCTGGGTACCATATAATTACTGAGAAAAAATGACTTACATTTTACACTGGGTTTTCAGTGATACTGTTGATAACAGATGACACAAGATCCAAAAATAAAATTTAATTAAATGTTTCAGAAAGTCTGTGAGGAGAAACTCTTTTCAGAGTTGGAGTTGTTTATAGGAATGAATCTTGAGCAGAAAGTGAATGATCTCTTCTGGTAGATGAATGCTTCTGAGCAACCACATGCTACATTTTGAGGGACAAATATATTGCATGGTTTGTTCCTAGCAGACTACTCTCTTAGCAAATTAAACTACTGAAAGAGTTTAACATGCATTCTTTTTTTTTCAGATGGATTCAGTGGGAGTACAAAATAAATGTGTCATTGCAATAAGTAGATTCACAACTGGGCGGGGGGGGTGCAGTGGGTAAAAACTGGTTTGGTACAGTGTCTTGAGTTAATTTCTGTATTCTCTAATAAAAATACTTCTAGCTAAAAGAAATCACTGAAATATATTATTTACTGACAATTTCTATTATTTCTTCTTCAGAAAATACCAGTCAGCTAATTCCTTCACTGTCTCTAAAGTAACAGGTTAGTATTAATTTCTTATAAACTCAGTACTACTTTATGATTTTTCTAAATAGCACATATTTATTTGTTTCTGTTTTACTTTCTTCAGTTCAGGCTATTACCTGTGAAACAACAGTGGAACAACTCTGTCCATTTCAAAAACCAGCCTCACACTGTCCAAGGTAAAATTATTAAAATTTTATTAGTTTAAAATGCTGCCAATATTTCTGTCAGTTCCTAATTACCCTAAGTTGTCATTGATCAAAGATGTCAACAGTAGCTGTGAAAATGAAGTCAGAAATGTTTAACTGATATTTAAATCTTTGGTCTCAGTAGAAAGCCAGGTAAGTAAAGATGATCTGCAGGTTTTTTCAATGGGAGAATCTCTTTTTCTTTTGCTCATGAGGATCCTGTTGCTAGTCTTAGTGAAATTGTTAGGTTAAAGACTCTGAATAATTCTTCATTATCCAGTATTATTTCTATGCACCTTGGGCAAAGTACACTTTATTTCAATTTATTTACCTGTAAAACAGATACAATAGAAGGATACAATACAGATATTTATTGCAGAACTTACCGATTTGTTTGGGAGTTCTGTAGGAACTGGATTGAAAAAAATTTGAAATATATATGGTTAAATTAAGGTGTGGTCTGCAGGTCAGTAAACAACTTTAAATATTTGTGCCATTTTTTTGAAGACTGTGTTTTAACTCTTCGAAAGAAGCTGTGCTGCAATATTTTGATGAACGAATTTGGTAACAGTTCTTAAAACCATAGATGAGTCAAAGGTAAATACACTGTAGCATGATTTACCACAAACTAAGCTGGAGATATCCACAGGATTACTTTCATAGCAATTCTACAGCCAATACAGGAAGCAAGTACAAAGCCAGAACTGCTAGAAAAACATCCCTTCATGTAGCACTTGGGTCCATGGACTTGTTTGGTGTTTGGCTATGGCTCCTGGCTCTCTAGCTGGAAGATGTGGAGAACTAAACTAAGGAGTGGAACACAGGAATGGATAGATACAATTTCATACTTGTATATTTTTCTTTTTTTATTAATTATTAAAAGCTAAAATTAGCTTCATTAAGAGAAAAATAGGGTCTGTCTTAAGGAAAATTAAAAAATAAAAATAAGGTTAAAAATGGTTTAATTCTGATACATCAACTTAAGGAACTTCACAACAGCAGTGATTCATTCAAGATTCTGTGCATGCTCTTAATTCTGAAAATATAGTCTCAGGAAATACAAACAGTAATCAGCTATGGCATTGATTACACAAGCTTACTTTTCCCTTTTGTACCCTAATCATAAATCATCAGCTCTTCAACCGCCCTCCTTTGAGATCTTGCTTCCTTCTAACAAAAGTAGCTTTCTTAACTGCTTTAATTACCCATCTGGTAAGACTCTAGCGTGCCTAGGTGATGTGACGTGCCAAACATCCATGGAGCCTGGAGAGCATCCTAGAGAAGAACACTTGCCCAGGGCTGCCCCGTGTAGGGACCAAAGTGTTTAGGGCATGACCCATTTTTTAAATTAAATAGTTCAGAGTAGACATTGAGTTAACTGTCAGTTCTTGCTTGTAGCATATCACAATTAACAAATAAGATGCTTGACACCTTCTGTACTACAATTAGCTTCCCATATGATTTTCATGTGCATTTTGAAACTATAGCAGCCATGAATCACTGAGAAAGTTTTCCTCAAAGGTCAACAAAATGCAGTTAATAAAGATGGTCTTTGTTTTTGTAGCCTTCTGATCTCCTAGAATCAGGTAGGAATCTCATTACTTTACGAAGTTTTTCATTTTAGCTATGGATGCCAGTGCTCACCTTCACTATAAGTTGCTAGATTGGCTTACATCACCAGGTCATCAGCATCAAAGCAGATCCTCACTCAGATCTGCCTCTTCTGTGAAGGTATTTGACTGTACAGTTTGTAAAGGATGCTGTAGAATCAGATAAATTATAGAAGAGTGAACAGTCTCTTTTCTCACTGGCTTTTCTACTAGCCTTATGTATGTTGGACAAGAACACCATCCGCTTATCAAAAGGGAAGAAGACTAGACGTGTTAAAGTATAATTTTAAGCACTTCATTATGAACCTCAACTTACATCAGCAATGTTTTTCACCTGTATGATCAAAGCCTCAAAAACTGACAGCATTTTAAGAGCAGTATAGACCCATATATATGCATTATGAACTTGACTTATACTCAGTAATGCTGACAATGAACATGATATAGTAATCCTCTGATACTCATTCCTGACTGTGTGTGGTTTGTTTTTGATCTTTCAGGGTGTATTGTCCTTACAACTGTATGCAGGCAAATCCACACTACGCTCGTGTCATTGGTACACGAATTTATTCTGATGTAAGTATAGGGATTTACATTACGTTATATAATGAAATATAAAATCCTATGAAAAGTTATAAGGTAAAGATAACGAGATAGAGCATAGATATAGTTTTCCTGCATATGCTTATTTTTCACACAGTCTTTTCAAAGTTCTTTTTCAGAGACTCCCATTTAAGTTAGCAGTACTCAGCTAACTGGAAAGTTATTTGAAAACCCATTATAGACTTCAGTAGTCTCTGGAACCAAATTTTCAGTTTTTTAATGAAAATTCCCACTGATTTGTTTAATATTAGCAGTGTATACTCATTTAAACCCCTGCACTTTAGATCCTGATGCACCCATAACTTCTGTTGGATAATACTAACAAAAAAACCTACTCTTAAAATAAATGTCCACAGTCTCATTATTTTGGATATTTCTTATTTGTGTGGGTAGCAAAATATTTGCAGCAGATTTTTAATATGTTTGTGTAAAGTATCTCACGTTGTCATATTTTAACATTTTTTTGTCGTTCTGTTTCCTAATCAAGTTTTTTTTCCTACAACATGTTGAGTTCTCAGGTGGGTAGAAAGAATGAAAAGAGGGTTCTATTTTATGCCCCTCCTTTGTCATCTCTCTATGGAGAACCCAGGATGTAGCGGCAGAGAAAGCAGATCACATTTTTGCCAGTTTTAACTGAAAATGTAGTCTCTGCAATTATGTTGTAACTATCTTATAGCTGTCATAAGGAGTAGTATGGCAACCAGCTGGGCCAGATTTTCACTACTTTCCAGTACTTTTAAATGTGTGAAAATAATATGCGAATATTTGGTCATCATTATTTTGAAACTAAGTAATGTCCATTAGATTACCTGAGTATCTTGTCCTGAAAAACTCTTGTCCATAAGCAGTGTCACAGATGTGAGTAGTACTTCTAATTTAAGAAGGATTTGTGCATTGGATCCTTAATGTGTGTGAGAGAGGCAGTGAAAACAGATTCAATACAAGTAAGTCCATTTTGTGGAAGATGATTTTCTTTCAGTTCTGTGGTTGCAATCAAAGGCTACAGCCAAAGTTTCCCAGTGAGTTAGAAAAGACTTTGTTGTAGGAGAAAGAAGACATGCTTTTGTTTGACTTAGACAGGAGAACATCCCAGAATATATATTTTCTTTGTCTGGAGAAGCCCCAGGTGACTTTAATTAGTATTACAGAGTTATACTTTAAAATTTATTTTAGATGTACTATTTCATTATTCATCTCCATTGTATAGAAATGTGTGCAGCCATAGTGCTTTTAGGAAGAAATGGACATAAATACAGGTAAGAAACCAGAGATGGAAGTCTTCTTATCAACTTCAAATGCTGTCAGGGTAGATATTTACACTGAAGGTGCTATTTTAGATTATGTTTATAGTAGTTTCTAGTACATAGAGTATAGTGGTAAAGGAGATAAATAGACATCTGCAGGGCAGAGTTCATTTGACTTTTTTGGAATGTCTACCTTACTATGAGATGAATTGCCAAACAGAGATGTCTGTTCTTCTCCATTTCCTACAGAAGGGTCCTGGGGCATCTAGCTCAAATGTAGAAGGATGTATTTGCACAGGTGTTCCCATTGATGATATCAGTATTATACAGTTTTCTACAATGTTCTTTTTTTTGCTAACATTTATTTTAAACCTAAGATACTTTTTTAATGATATTTTCACTAATACAGTTGGGTATTATATGCATTACAATATATTACTGAACTAGCTTCAGGTGAAGTATTTCTAGAGAATAACCTGTTTAATAAGTGTGCCCTCTTTTACAGTTTTTCATGTATTCACAGAGAGATTTCTTCACAGATAGAGAGAATTCATTCGCCCGCTTGTCACAGCAAATGTATTTGAAATTGCAGTCCATGATCTACTTAGTTGATTACACAAAATAGATGGGGTTTTTGTGAAGTTCATGCAAATTCATAAATATGTATGTGGATGTATGCATATATGCACATGACTATTTATTTGCCTTACTGCTTAGGCCTCTTGCATTGAATAAAGGAACAGGATTTTGCAAAGATAGTTAAAAAAAAAGCAAATAATATTAATGGATGTCACTAATGCAAAAAGATACATTTACAAAATCATTTTTATAGTATTGAGAATCTAGTTAAACCTTTCCTTTTCTGGCTTTGGTCTGATCAGACATTTATTCTTAAACTCATTTCATATTTTATGGTGACTTCTTTTCCTCTCTATTCCTGAGAAGATTTGTTCTCTGGTTTATCAGTAGTGCCCCACAGAATTTTTACCCTTTTTTTTTCTTTTTCATTTTAACCTTTAGCCTCTTAGTCTGTAACTCCCACAGTATCAGTAAATAAGGGATGGCTATAGTAGTAACAGTAAGGCATGTGTTGGTGTTCAGGATATAACAAAAGTCTTGAAACCTTGGGAGGAGGAAAAGTACAAAGTAGTTTAATTGGCATCCCTCATGGCATGTTCACAGCCAGCAGTGTGGAAAAAAACCCTAAAGCATCTTTGCAAAAGATAGTTTTCATAAACAATGTCAGATCTTTACTCCTTTAAATATTGTAACATTAAAAGACAAACTACATAACAGTGAAACCGGCGAGTCCTGTGCTTGGAATGAGAGTAGGAAAATCATTGCTATTTTAAATTCCTGATTTTATATACAATTGAGATTGCAAAATAGCTACGGCAAAGATTTAAATTACACTAGTTATAACTGGAAGAAATACGAGTTTTGTTTAAATAGTGGTTTGTTTGACCAGCTATTGATATTTATATTGGCTAAGTTTTTTAAGGTTGCCTGTGGAGAGATCTATTGCATTGAAGACTTTTTCCACAAAAAAACTTGTCTCTAAGTGGAGATTTACTGTAGCTGGACCTGCACTTTGCTGTGCTATGTGTTGAAGATTGGGGCCTACCATCTGGAGTATCTAAGAAGTTTCATTCTTCTAGCAATTTTTAAAATGCTGAAAGAGTATTAGAGGACTACAAGTTTAAATCAATTATTTAAATTAACGTTATCAAGATTGTCACTGAGGAATCCTTCTGTGGGTATTATTTATGCTTCATGGGTTCATGAGAGGAATGTGTGACCAGAGAATGTAGGTTTCAAGCAGATATAGGTGCTGGTAACTTCACAGAGAATTTTCATTGAATCATAGAATACCAGGTTGGAAGAGACCCTAAGGATCATCTGCTCCAACCTTTCCTGACAAAACATGGTTTAGACAAAGTGGCCTAGGATCTTGTCTAAAAAGTGTCCAATGCTGGGGAATCCACCAATTCCATGGGAAGATTATTCCAAAGGTTGATTGTTGTCATTACGAAAAATTTTCATTTTGTGTGCAATTGAAATCTCCATAAGAGTAGCTTGTACCCATCACTCCTCATTTTTTCCATATGACTTATGTAAAAAGGGAGCCACCCTTTAAATACTAAAACATGATGATGAGGTCTCCCCTAAGCCTTCTTTTCTCAAGGCTGAACAAACCCAGTTCTCACAGCCTTTCCTTATATGACAGCCTCCCCAGTCCTTTAGTTGTCTTTGTGGCTCTTCTCTGGACCCTTTCCAACCTTTCCACATCTCTTTTATAGCAGGAACAACAACTGATGTGGCCTGACAAGCACTGAGTAGAGTGGGATAATGATTTCTTTATCTCTCCTGGTGGTGCCCTTGCTGATACAACCCAGCATCCTGTTTGGTATCTCTTGTTTCTCTTTGCTGCAGTGGCACACTATTTACTCATACTGAACTTGTGGTTTACCAGGACCCTCAGGTCCTTTTCCTCAGAGCTGCTCCCCAGCTGGGTTGATCCTTGCATGTGCTGCACTCCTGGATTATGTATATGCACTCCAGGTGCAAGACCTTGTCTTTGTTGAGCTTCATAAGGTTCTTGTTAGTCCACTCTTCAAGCCTATCCAAGTCTTCCTGCAGGGTTGCTCTCTTCTCTGAAGTGTCCGCTTTCCCATTTAGTTTGGTATCATTGGCAAACTTCATCAGGTAGACTTGATCCTATCATTGAGTTCACTTATGAAGATATTAAACAGCGTTTGGGCCAATATCAGTCCCCAGGGGCCCCACTTGTGACAGATTACCACACTGAAAAGAAGCTATTTGCCACCACTCTGGGTGCCACCTGTCAGCCAGTTCCCCACCACTGCACAGACCCATCGCTAGACCACATCACTGTTTCTCCATGAGGAGGGTGGGAAACCATATCAAAAGTCTTGGAGGAATCAGCTAGACAATTCCCCCTCTGTTGTTGAATTGAAGGCTGATAGGTTCTTTCATTCTGAAAGACTGAAGAATTCAAACATGTTCCTGATCTTTGAACTGAAATAGCTTGAAAGAAATTATTTTGGCGTCATACTGAAGAGGATCTTTGAAGAGACAGTGTCTTTATTCCTATAAATTGACCTAATCCTTATGAAACTGATTTAAATACTGTAAGATTAATAAAATTAGTCATGCAATAATTATTTTATGTTTCCTAAACTTGGTTTAAATGTAATTTGTTTTCTTCTAAACAATTACAAAGTAAAAGGATGAAAACTAATCTTTCCCGCATTCTTCCGTAGGTATCCAGTATCTGCAGAGCAGCACTACACGCTGGTGTAGTCCGCAACCAGGGTGGTTATGTTGATGTTATGCCAGTAGACAAAAGAAAGGTGTATGTTGCTTCCTTTCAAAATGGAATATATTCAGAAAGGTACAGAGCCCGTTTTCAAAGATTACACTTTACCCTTTGCCTCCATGAGATTTACAAAGTCTTGCATTGTGTCTGTTTGTATCTAGGGCAGTGCTAGAAACCAAACAAATAGGCCAAAATTGGTGATTTACAGAGCTTGTGTAACAGCCGTGGTGACTTTGGAGAAGCTGTGGTGGCAGAGCTGCCTGCCTCCTCTAAGCTCATAAAACATTACTCTGAAAAGTTGTGTATGAAATAAAACCTCTTATTTGCTTTGCTGGTTCTGTTGCAACTAACACAATATTTGATAAGAAAATTGCCTTTACTTTCTTAGGGAGGTTTTAAAAATTAACACTGATGATGCAGGTTCATTGGTTCCTGATGAACTGTTCATTAGTGATTTACATGGTATTGAACCAGTGATCCTGAATCATGAATAATATTTACAAACATTAAAATTCATGATCATTGAAACATAGTTTTAATTTCTTTTTTTTTTTAATAGTTTGTTGTTAACAGTGTTTTTCTGAAAGACCTGGAGAAGCTGTGAAAGTTCATTTGGTTGTATTCAGTGTATTTTTGCATTATATGATGATAACACATGGCTGCATGTTGCAGATTAATTTTAATCTCTGAGAGAGTTCTCCAGGTTCTGAAGGAAGAAAGAGAAAGTACCTTAAAAAAAATCTTCATCATATAAGCTACTAACAAATAAGGGAACTCCTGGGTCTGCAAATTCTCTCCAAATGTAGTTGTTAGAATAGTGAGCATAAATGCAGGCTATCTCTTTCTTCTGAAAAATTTTTAGTATTTTGCTTCAGTAGAGCTTTATTCCTTAAACCAGGATCCCTCATCACAAAGGATTACTTGATTTTTTTTAATGTTATTTTTTGAAATTTAGGTAGTTTTTATTTGTAGCAGTTTTAAAAAATCTTGGATAGCTAAAGTTAGGAGTTGTTACAAGAACTGCTGCAGGATCTTAGAATTAACAATTAACAATTTAAAAACGTTGTCATTGGAGTGTTGCAGTCTTAAAAATAACATAATTGATGTATTTATGTTTCAGTTTACAGAATCCTCCAGGAAGCAAGGCATTCAGAGTATTTGCTGTTGTTTGAATCTAGCAAGTAAAATGTAAAACAGGCAAGTGAAACCAGAACACTTGGAAAAGAGTAATACAGGCCATTTCTTATAATTCCTAGAATTTGTATAAAGCTGTAACATTATTGTACAGAAGATGTATACTGCTTTCCACCAAAAAGTTTAAATTACATATATATCTTAATGAAAAAAATCTGTAAAAATAAACATGGGAGAAAAATTCATTTGAAAATCTATAATGATATATAACACTGCTTTGAATCCTGTGTTAAATATTGCTATATTTTCTTAGCAGTTACTCTTATACAGTTAATTCAAAGCTCATAAATGTTCTTTGTTTTCCTCATCTGAATATATTATTGTATGGTGCTTTATATATGCCACTAACAGTAACCTTTAAACTATATCATAGGGAGGCCTGAGTTTTTATTTTCAATGTACAGAAAAGAAGCCATCCCAATATTCTGATAAAATAAATCATGCCTTAAAGTAAAATAAAAACATATATATAACTTTTTGATGATTTACAGTAGCATTAGCCACGCAAGCATAGAAGAGCTAGATTGTTCTCAATTTCACACTAATCATAACAAGTCCAAATACCTATTTTGAAATAAAATGGAAGATATAAAATATGGGAAGCCCTGGGTCACATTAGCATGTTTTCCTCTAAAAAAATATTTCTAAGAGACATTCATCTCTATTATTTCTTAAATAGGTTGATAAAATATTTATTGGATGCTGCTAAGCTCTTTAATTCAAATAAGCAATTCATTATGGCCCAATCTTTCACAAATATTCCACTGTCTTGGGATGGTTGAATGAGAGACAGACATATATAATATTGGAGGATCTGATAAAATTTTTATATTGAGAAGTGTAGTAACCTGAAATTAAGGAATAAGCCTGCAGTTCTGCAATGCAGTTCTGCACATCCACATATATATTTTTGCCATGTCACTCCTTCAGTTTACCAAAATTGGGTCTCAGAAAAAATGTAGACTTGTACACATACATAAAAATTTGCAAGCTTGAGGCCTTGAGTTTTACATGTTGTCAATATACTATACATTGATATGAGGGTAAATGTTCAAAAAAACCAAAGAAAATAGTAACAAAGGCTAACCTTGCTCCCCATGACCTGGCAAATATTCCTGCAGGCCAGGAAGTATAGTGGTATGAAGCCCAATGACAATTATGTCATTTGTTGCTTCACCATTTAAAAAAATTCATTTATGGTGAACAGCTTGGTGGATTAATTTTACCATATTATGGTATATAAAGAACATGTAGTGGTGTTACTATGTTTCTTTCTATGAAAAGTGTATTGGTGCTTTAAGACTGAAAAGCTGTTAAACCTTATTTTTGGTGTATTTTGTTTCTGTTTTTGAATTTCACTGCAACTTGTAAACTGGTTCATACTCTTCATATTTCAGAATACGATATTCTGCCTTCTCTTTTGCTACATGTACTACCTCATGTGGTTAGGCAAGCTTTGTTAGTTTTTTTTAATCTGTTTTGAATAAAAATAATTTACATTGTAAGACTAACTTTGACAGCTTTTATTTTTTAATTGTTTGTCCTGAATCAAGAGAAAAAACAGCCACCCTAAATGTACTTATTTTTCTTTTTTGTAGGATCAAGCAGCAGACATAGTCTGAGGTTCTAAAAGATGTAAAGGCAATTTAGACACAAAACTTTCACTAATTGCATCAGAAGTTTTGTGGATAAATCTTCTGCTCATTTTTTCAAGTTTTGACAAGGGTCAAATTGATGAGGGAGACAAAGAGTCTTTTATGTATAACCCCTTTTTCTTTGTGCAAGTGGTGGCCATTGAAAGAAGCTTTTATATAAATTTTGCAATACTGGCATTAACCATTTTTCAGAATTGAAACCAAAGTGCAATTAGACTTTGACTGTGCTGGATCTCCAAGTCAGTCAAAAGCTTGAGACAGACTTGCACCATCTTTTCTTAAAAGCACCAAAGCAGTAACACAGAAAAGTCTTGCAGTACCTGGAGTTGGGGTTATCAGAACATAAAAAGCAGTAAGGCCACCTCTGAAGTTGAGGACACACAGAACTACTGAGGGAGACGTTAAAAACAAAATGTTTTGACTGCAAATAGTGTCCCTTTCCACACAGGTGGTACATTTCCTTGCAACCTGGCCTTGCCATTCAGCAGCTCTCCGTGTTCCCTGTCTGGCCTGTGATCCCCAGCAGTTGCCTCAGAACCCCATGGGCAGCCTGTGGGGTGCTGCAGAGCCTGGGCAGTGAGGTAGCTTCCTGCCCTGCAGAATAGGCAGCGGGGTCATCCCTTCCTGTGGGCAGTGCAGAGCCTGCGGTAAGGCAAAGAACAAGACAGTCACATCTTTAGCCATAACCACAACTTCTTCACTTTGGGTGGATGGGTGAATGGAGTCCTATGTGGAAACACTGTTGCCACTCCAAATTTCTGCCTTTTCCCTCCATTTGTTCCTTGTCCCTTTTTTTGTTCTATGTATCTTTGCTTCCTTTTCTCTCTTATCTGTAAAATCCAACCTACGTTTGCTGTGCAAGGGGGCAGGGGTGGACCCTTGGGGCCATAACAGTAAAGTCAGAGCTTGGCGGGAGGAGAAGGGGGGCTACTTCTAGCATCTGTGGATAGTTACACTGTGACCGGATCTACTAACCAATACAGTGACAAGAAGAAAGGGAGGTGAGTAACTCTTTCTCTTCACATCTTCTGTGGCACAATTTTTTTGAGTTCTGTTGCTTTTCTACATGCAATGACTATCCTAATGCAAATATTCCAGCTACTGTTGGTTTTTTGAGAAATTTTCTTCTGTATTCACTGTAAGTAATAAGTCAATGAGTAGACATTTCCAGACAGTTGTAGAGTGGGAGCTGCAGACTGGTATTTCTGTCTGCACCAAAAGCAACTGTATGCTGGACGGTTACAGCTGATTCATAGAAAGCCCAAAGGAGTAACTTGCAGTATCAGAAAACTTCTTTAGCCTAATGAAAAAACCATAGAAGAAGATCAGCTTTTAAATTCTGCAAATTGTTTGGTTAATTGAGCAGTTACAAAATTGTGTTCTCAACTCGAAATAAAAGAAAGAGATAATCAATACAAGAGTAAAGCTTAATCAATACTATTCATAATATTTAGCTTGCCTCCCTGGAAAGACCTAGAAGTAGCTGACAAGAATTAATACAACTGATACATAATAAAAAGCTGTTTTATTACACTGCTGTTTGCCAGTAATAATTTTGAAAGGGCTAAAATACCAAGGAGTTGCTTGTAATTATTTGGAGAGGAGTCAAAAGTTTGTCAAGCATAGATCACTTGCCTGGTGAGATTTTAAGTAAGGACTAGTTGAGGCATTCCCCTGCTATGCTGCATCCCTTCCAGCTGAAGTAGCTAGTTTCATAATTAAAGTGTTAGTGTTAGTGTGGAAGAAAGTGGTCAAACTCAGATAATCCTTTAACAGTTGTTCACTATTTTGATAGCTGTGTGAGGATACTTTAGTTTTAGGGAACTTGGGACCCACCTTCATGTCAACAGACAGTTCATAGTACTAGCTGGACATAAACTAAGGAAACTAGGAAACATTTCCTAGACTTTGTGGATGCTGAGGAATTTTAAAGAGTTCACAGACGTCCTTGTGTCTGATTTCTCCATAGGGGACAGTCTGATCTAGAAATTATACATAAAGTACTTTTGGAACCAAGCCTGAAACATGGATTGGGATAACCTGTTTGTAAGATTACAGGTTTTTAACTGAAGAAATAGTCAGTTTTAAGTTTTATGTAAATGTCAGTCAGTGGATTCTCAGTGGATTTGAAAAAGGGAAAGTAACATCAGCTTTTTTTTGTGTGTATTGATAAGTATGTTCAGGAAAATGCACAGCCCTTTATGGCAGAGATGTAACCAAGTTACTCACATAAACAGTATCTTCTGTGTGGCAATTACTTTTTAAGTATGTTTTGAATTTGGCTTAAAAGTCAGATAACCCAGCTTCCTGTGAATACACAAGGGAAGGTTTATTTCCTGCAATTTCTGTAGTCATACAAAGGGTAAGATTTAGAAACATAAATATTTGGAAGTTACAAAGATTATTCATAGAGTGCAATATTCTGTTTGGAAATGTATATAAATACTGTATGAAATACTGTACTGTCAGACTTCTATGACTTAAGGCTTTTTATAGCATCTGTGGAACTCTAGGGAGTTATACAAGGAATGAAAAGCTTGAAGATTTTTGTTTCATTCATTGTATAACATGCATCTTACAGAGCTTTAGATATACAAATGACAGCACACTTTAGTATTTAAAAAATTGCATACGATTTTATAAAAATATACATTTTGCATATGAAAAAGAAACCATCCTATCAGCCCTAGCCTTAGTCTGTCTTGCTGTCAGGAATAAATGATGGAAATAGTATTTTATGTATGGTCCTTATTTATATTTTTATTGTTAATAAAGGAGAAGTCATTGTTGTGACTAGTGAAAATACAATAAAATGTGATTCCTGCCCTGTGTTAACATAGGGTGATAATGTGATACCTGAAGTTTGCCATCAGCTGTTCAGTGATCCGTGTTAAATTTCTTGTTCCTCTTAGCCTGTTTGGTAGGAGACAGATGCCTACATCATAAGACCATCATAGTGTTTTGGAAAAAATACTAAGTGTTAAATATTCAGAAGCCAGCAAAGCCCCCTGGTCAGACCAACTTGATATAATAAGGCTCAGGAAAATATGAGAGACTGAAGGAGGAAAGTACAGAACATGCAACTGAAACATTCAGTCATGATGCTCCATGTCTTACTACCTGCAATGATTCCTGCAATAATTACCCCAGTTATTCAATTCAGTATCTGTCCCCAGCGCTGTATCCAATACTGGTTTTGTCTTTACTGACAATGTCCAAAGGCTAGCAGCAAAGCTGTTGGTTAAGAACTGAGATACTCAGGCCAAACAACACTATGTCTTTTAATAGGCACACAAAAGACTTCAGTTGCCAATAGCAGTAACTCATGGGCTTTTAAATTTCCAAATTTCATTTAAAGCATAAGCATTATAACAATATTAGGAATAATCTCCTTGAACTTTATTTAATATGAAGTCTGCTTAATATGTTTAAAAAACTTGATTTGATGTGTTTTTAGTTATTTCTGAATTAATGATTTTATATGACAATATCCTTATTTGGAATATCATCTTAGAATACATATAAGAACTTGCATTAGTTTTGCTAATTTTGCAAGCTCAGAGACTCATAGGACTTAGTAGTAATGCTGATTATTTTTAGGATGCTCAAGAGATAGAAATTGCTAGGAGGTAGTAAGTCTTCCAAACTTAACCTACACAGTTTGAAAAACAAGTACTTTGGTTGCTTAATTATTCACTTAGGCTTGTTTATATGCAATGTAAATATCAAGCTGGCTCTGACTTCTTATAAATTGCTGCTACTGTATGTCCCAAAGATAAATTGGAAACAGTTGCTAAATCAATCTCCCTGTAGTCAGTAGAATCTTCATTCCATATTTATCTGTTGAAATCCCTCTGTTTCTTGGTGGTGGTGGATGGGTTTTTTTCCTACTGAAAGATCGTGTCTTCTGAATAAGTATTTCTTTTATTGTGTAGAACAACTCCAAGACCTTTGGGGCTGCAGGCTGCACTAAGCACAGAAACAGAGCAATCATTTTATGCAAAAGGACTTAGTCTCAGATTTTGGATTTAGCTCAGTTCAGTACACAAAGAAGTGTATTGTATGAGTTGATTTAGTGCTTACTATACTGGAGGTGATAGTCCTACTCCAGCACAGCTATAAAACCGAGCCAGGGAATAGTTCTGTGAAATGCTCAGAGCTCCTCTCTTTTGACCAGTAAAAATTATGGGGTAAATTAGATCAGTTTACATTTTTAAATAAAAGGAATAGCTAGACAGATGTATTTGGTGGCTTATTGATACAAATGTGCCCTTCTGCCACTGATTGAGGGTTTATGCATGTTATACCAAACATGTTCAATGATGTGCAGATCGTGCAGAAGCAGTGATTTTTTGGGGGGTTGGCAGTGATGTTAAAAAGATTGGTATTTGGATGCTTCTGCTCCAGGATCTTTTAAAGCAGTTTTCTGTAAATTACAAGACAATTGTTTTGTAATATGTAAAGACCTGTCCTAGAAATAAGAAAGTCACACCTTGACTGAGATGCACGGCTGCATCTACTATACAATAAAAATACTGTTCTTTGATTTAGGACTTCTTTTCTGCTAATGCTTCAATTCAATTTGTAGTTTTCATTATAAGTCCTGGAGAAGTACAGTCCAATCAAAACACCTAAAGGTACTTGAGGAAAACAACCATCTCTACCATGATCTCTCAGAAGACATTCAGCTCTTATTTATCTCGCATCAATACAGCACCTAAACAGTAACTCAGTACCACTCCTATAATAATTGCAGTCTATGACTACCCATAAGGCTGAGATTCCAGCCTAGCTTCTTATTTAACATTAGTCAAAAGCATAGACAAAGGAATTTAACAAGAAAGGTGAGA